TGGCGGACTCGATCTCCTGTTTCTCGGCGAGACGACGCAGATCACGCTCCTCGCGCTCGTTGCGCTTCCAGAAGGACATCATTTCACGCATCGTGCGTTTGGCGCGGGCTTGCGTGTCTTTCATGCTCTTGTTCGTACGCTCTTGCCATTTGCGAGACTGCTTACTGGCAAGCTGAGCAGTCTTCCGCAAGTTTTCCTGACGCGTGCTAAGAGAAAGGGTCTTGATGCGATAGACCTTGGGGATGTCTTTCCGGGCAATATCCCGCCAGATCTGTTCATATATCTGGTTGTAACCCTTCGACTCGAATGTGGACACGGGCGAAGGCGTGGGTTCTTTGGAACGTGCACCCTTGGCCTCCTTCTTGAGGGTCTCCTTTCTCGGATCTTCCTTGGGAGCGAGAGGCAAGGGCTCGTCATTCTCCATGGCAGCATAAGCAGCCTCGGCCGCATCCTTCTCGGCCTGCTTCTGCTCCTTGGATTTCTTCGGCCGTGAGGTCCCCGAGCGTCCAGACTTGCGCCTGGACGGGGAGCTGCGACCGATGTGGAATGAGCTGGTAGTGCCTCCTTCCAGATTAGGAGCAAGCGGCGTGACCTCTCCGATTTCCTCCGGCGATGTGACACCTTCGAGAGCTCGCTTGGTCGATTTGATCTTTCTCTGGGCCCTTTCAGCTTCGCGGAGGAATTTGGCCTTCTCGGCGGCATCGTTGGCCTTATTTGCCTTGCGCTCGGCTTCAAGCTTCTTCTGCATTTCCAAACGCACCGTATTCTCACGCCGCCGCTTCCGCTGCATGTCCTTCTTGCGTTCCTTTTCGTCCTGAATTTCCTTCGCCTGAACTTCAGCGATGACCGACGCTTCGTTTGCGGCCCGGAATCGATCCACTCCCGCGTTTGCCTGCTTCTCGAAAGTTTTACCGAGCTTGACAAGAAAATCGTGACGGCGACGCTGTCTTTGCATTAGTACTTTGATATCTCAGATGTGGAAAGATGTGACTTAGAGGCCTACCTTGCGCCTGATGCCCTCGGCTTTTTCCGCATCTAAAGCCCTTTTCTTGCTCTTCACGATGTAGCCGTCATACTCCGCCTCAAAGCCAGGCGACTCGACATCGCTCTTGTCGGCATTGTCAATCTCCGCGATGATCTTGTTGATGGTTTCAGCATCTCGCTCTGTTAATGTCTTGCGGTTGGAGACCCGAGCGGCTTTTGTCGGTTCGAAAGCACCGTTAGCAGATGCAACAGGAAGCGCTTCGGCGGATTTGGGTTCTTGTTCCGCATTCCGACGACGTTTTTCGGCGCCCGGCTTCTTCTCAAGTCGGGGTAAGGCTGCGGGGGAGATGGGCTCCGGCTCCTTAACTTTAAGTTGGGAGGTAGGTGGAAGACCGTGCGTCACTGGAGGTGGTGTGAGTCTTCTCCTTGCTGGCACTGGGGCAAGGGCTGGTGGTGGGGGCGTGATTGTGGTTGCCGGGGCCGGTAGGGCTTCTGGAAGGGAAGGCTGCTTTTTAGGGGAGCTCTCTTCAGTCGGACCTGAAAGAATGCTGGCGAATGACATGGGGTCGGCAGCGCGAGCATGTTTCTAGATAAACGAAATAAAAACTCAGTAAACATACTCATCTCACATTTTCGTTTCCTATACTGATCATAGTGAGGACATACCGTTTCTCTAGGGGGAGAAGCCGGCCGGGGCTCTCGCATCATTGATGACGAGTATCCAGGAGCACCATTTCCTCCGATGGGGTACAGTGGTTCCGTCTCTTTCTTTGGAGGCGATTGTGATAGGCTTTCCAGGCGAGCCGATGGATGGGCGTGAGACGAAGTGGAGTGGTTATAGGGGGATGCGCCGTTGCTGGACATCATTGATGCTGAATATGGCCTTGGTAATGAAAACTGCGGCGTCCCTGCCGACGAATGTGCCTGATACTGCGAAGAAGGCTCCGAATGATGCCCTGGCGGAGGAGCACCACCGTTTAATGGAGGTAGCGTAGCTGGTAAGGGCGAAGGCGCATGTGAGTAATGGGGACTCCGAGACAGTGACGGCTGTGGAGCGAAAGCCGGCGGTGTCTGCGGAGGGTGCTGCTGGTACTGATCATTGTTGGGATAGTATGAACGATTCTTATTCGGAGGAGAATAGACGGGAAAACGAGGTTGCTGCGTCGGAGACTGAGGATTGTAAGGCGGAGCCCCCGTCATGATGGCCGCGTGTGCCGGAGAACGCGGCGGCGAATATTCGAATACAACAGGGGCAGCGATAAGGCAGTTGAAGTTCGAAAAGGCGTCTTGGTCAAGTGAACATTGAACAGGGCCGGTCGTCCAAGCGAGAGAAGGGTGGAGAGGAAAGGTATCTTTCTAGAAGGGACGGGCAATCACGCGTTTCGCACCTGTCGCGGCGGTTTCAACTGCTTGAATGAAGGATTAGCTCCGAGACAGGGTATGGTATAAGAAAAGATGAATTCGAAGGTTGAATTCAGGAAATGGATCGGCGGTTCATACAAGACAGGTTGTAAAGCGGGAAGATGAGTTGGAAGGGAGAGAAGGGGAGAGACAAATGGGATTAGAAGAGGTTGCCTCACCGTTTTGACAGAAACCTCTCGGGAGAATAGAATGAAGGCGAGCTCTTTGTGGATGTTGGACCAAACCAACAAACTCCCGTCAGCGCCAGAGTGGCTCAGGCTCGGATGCGATGGAAAACGAGCACCCGTCTGTGGTTCTCCCAAATGGGGAATTGACACTGTGGTGCGGCTGACGGAGCTTGTGGACAAGGGAAAAGGGAAACAAGTGGGATGGAGAAGTGGGAGATGTAGGTGATGAGATGAAGATGGAATAGATGATGGAGATAGATATGGAGATGGAGGATATAGAAAAGAAAGGGTCGATGGTGGAGGGAAGGAAGGAATAGTTAGTGAATGATGTTGATGATGATAATGATGCTGCTGTTGGATCTTCGAAGTGGTCGTTCCAGCCTTTTCCCCCCTTTGCCCAAGTTTTCTCTCTGCCCTCTCTTCACTTGACTTTACTTTGTTCCTCTTCTTCCTCTTTCGTCGCTTTTTTGGGCCTGTCCGCGATCCGTACACGTACAGCCTGGCGGTATGTGTATTGGGATTACGTACGCCACTGATCCTAGGTACCTAGGCCGATCGATTCGATCTTCACTCGCCAAGATTTTGCAAGCATCAACCTATAGGTTGCACTTTGATGAAGCACTCGAGAGATTGACAGTGTTGGAAAATGGAATAATCTGAAAGTGCTTAAGGACAGTGACTATAAGAGTCTGCTTCCATTTTGTCACTGTCAACCTGCCCTTGCGCGATATTCACTACTCCAGATTAAGGTATTCAATGCCAAGCCTATGGGTCCGATACCGGTAATTACAATGTCGAAACATCAAGGTCATGGTCACAACTTACATAGCCATTGAATTTAATTGCACTAATAGCATTATTCTCTGATAGGAGTCAGAATACTCCGTACTATCTGTAGAATCTATCTGTAGATGCGATGTGTCTCTGTTGTAAAAGATCGTCTGATACCCCGCGCAGGGGTACCAAAATTGCCTATTCATACGAATGATGTCCGTTGTCATCTCAAACCGCAGAGGCCTTGCCAAGTACGATTTCCCAAGGACTGCTGGAGAAGGTCTAGAGGACCCTAGCAATGGCTTGACACCACGCACTATGCTGCTTTGCAGGTCGATGATTAATGGCATTCATCTTTCTCTCTTCCATGGAATTCCTGCGTCCATTGCCCTTCGGTGAGGACCAATGACCATATTGAAGTAGACGCGGTTGTTGCGCAGCCACCCGTCTATGCGTCGGAGCTGGGGAAACACAAGGGACTAAGACACCTAGGAGGTGCATGGTCCTGGCGCTCCCTGTATGCGCGAATTAAAAGGTACAGGCTGTTGAGGCCTGCCTTGTTCTTTACTGTGTACGTACTTTTGCTGTACATCGGCCTGGTGATCCTCATGGACGGATTATTTTCGTCGACTTCAATATCCCTATACTAAGGATACGGAGAGATTGATTCTATTGCCTCCTAATATAAGTGTTCAGAAGCTACTGAGGTCTTGTTGTCTCGTCATCTCATAGGACTTATTATCCCATAGGCATTGCATGCCTGAGGCAGCCGCATTCAATCTTGCAACGATACGACGGAGATTGCATCGCCAAATATCTCCCTTTGCTGGTCATATATGTAACCATTGAATCTATCATCTCACCTTGAGTTAATATATCATATCGTAGGATTAGTTCGCCTCCCACTCCCTCCTCCATCAGTCATGCCATGATCTTACGGTCTACCCGACACTGCCAGTTCCGAGACTGTTGCATGTCTGTAGAGTCAACTTTAATTCAGATTCGACTGTCATTGATTCCCTCAGGGTACATGGTACCTGGACTCTTGCATTGACACTGGCTGCTGGAAAGTCCCAGTTGCAGCAATCTGGAGAAACGACGAGCTCTTAATGTGATGAGATCGTGCAGCCATCCACCGACCGGTCCCGAGGATAGGTAGATATGGCCTGATCCAGGCAGACTGCAAGCTGGAAATTGTTGGATAGATCTTCAGAACCAGGTGTGTGTCTCCAGATGAAGAAGTCTCTGACGTCTCTGCTGCCCCATTACGTTCCGAACAGTCGGAGAGCATGGGGAATAAGCAGCTCACCGTGCATCTCAGTGGGCCCATTCGCTTGTCGCCTCATCTTCCCTGCTCATCCTGCTTCTGTATAGCCCCTGCTGTCATTCATGAGACAACTGGCCTTCCATGGATGAATTTAACGACGTCACTGTCTGATTCGGATGTAACAATGGACCACCTGATTCCTTACTTTCCTCTACCTCGAGCCACTGTGAGAACCTTTCCATGAAGTTATAAGAACCACCCGGAGATCTAGCTGTTTACTCGACAGATTTGCTTCTAAAAAATCTTTCTTACCTCATTCACCGGGCAATCGTCTTTTTTTTTTTTTTTTTTTTTTCGGACGGTTGCAGCTTGAGACACCAATCAGCATGACAATCCCAGACAAGCAATGGGCCCAGGTGGTCGAAAAGAAGGGCAGTCCACCGATCTACAAGGAGATACCCGTGCCCAAACCCGGTCCTGATGAAATTCTTGTCAAGATTCATTACTCAGGTGTCTGTCACACAGATCTGCATGCCATGAAGGGCGACTGGCCCCTCCCGCTGAAATTGCCTCTTGTCGGAGGCCATGAGGGTGCCGGGGTAGTTGTGGCCAAAGGCGAGCTGGTGACTGGCTTCGAGATTGGCGATCACGCAGGTATCAAGTGGTTGAACGGGTCCTGCATGGAATGTGAATTCTGCAAGCAGTCTGAAGAGCCTCTCTGTCCCCACGCAACCATGTCCGGCTACACGGTCGACGGCACGTTCCAGCAATACTGTGTCGCCAAAGCCACTCATGCCTCCAACATCCCCAAGGACGTCCCCCTCGATGCGGCAGCTCCAATCCTCTGTGCGGGTCTCACGGTCTACAAGGGCCTGAAAGAATCTGGCGCTCGCCCGGGGCAGACAGTCGCGATCGTGGGCGCAGGAGGAGGCCTAGGCTCTCTCGCCCAGCAATACGCCAAAGCGATGGGATTGCGAGTCGTAGCGATCGACGGCGGCGATGAGAAGCGAGAAATGTGCGAGAAACTCGGTGCAGAGGTAAGAGGCCTGCATTTTCTGCACGTACCTAACTAACCTCTCCCGCAACAGGCCTACATCGACTTTACCATATCCAAGAACGTCGTCGAGGACGTCAAAGCCGCCACCCCGGGGGGACTCGGCGCCCACGCCGTCCTCCTACTCGCCGTCTCGGAGAAGCCCTTCCAGCAAGCTACGGATTACGTCCGCTCGCGCGGTACTATCGTCGCGATCGGCATGCCCGCAGAAGCATACCTGAAAGCACCCGTGTTCAACACCGTGATCAAGATGATCACCATCAAGGGCAGCTACGTGGGGAACCGGCAGGATGGTGTCGAGGCGATTGACTTCTTCGCCAGGGGGCTCATCAATGCGCCGTTCAAGAAAGCGCCGTTGAAGGATCTTCCGCGTATATTTGAGCTGATGGGTTAGTCCTTCTCTTATCCTGTTCAGATTCGTCGCTGACAACCCTGTAATAGAACAAGGCAAGATCGCTGGTCGATACGTTCTTGAAATACCTGAGTGAAGCAGAAGATCTGCAGACAACAGCGGTTGACGATTGACGTGCCGAATGTCTGGACAATGCGTACAGAAACACTATGCTCCTTCCTATCTACTGTACAGGGAAGTGACGTGTATCTAACCCTTAGTAAATTGACACTCACCTCTGCCTTCCCAGCCTGCAAATCGGCAGTACATGTAATGCAACTCGAACAGCCAACTGGTTAATAACAAGAAGCAACTACGATCTACAAGTAGATACAGGTCCCCTTCAATTGACACCCTTCTCCCCATCCAACCCCTCCAGATTCGTCTCCGAAGGAGTAGACGACGACTGTCCAACAGTCGCCTGCGGACCCTTGTAGAACTTGCGCGCATACAGCAGATAATACAACAGCGCACCACCCCAAAGCGCACCGTTGATGACAACAGTATAGTTCATATCCTCAGCTTTCAAATTTGTCAGCACAATGCGTTTTATCTACCTGAAGAAAAGAAAGACTTACGAGTTGGACCGGGTCCCAGGGTGGGAAACATGCACAAGACGATCGCGAAGAAGAGATACACGATGGCCGTGACGGCGATAGGCTTGCTCAGCCGGCCCGTGTAGAATTCCCCCGGCTGGAAGCGCTCGCCGCCCCAGACGAGCCGCGCAAAGATGGGGGTCAGCCAGGCGAGATCGTTGCCCGCGACGGCGAGAGAGAAAAGAGCGTTTGAGGCGGCGCTGTTGATGAGGCAGAGCAGACCGATGATGATGGCGGCTGCGACGACGCCCCAGATCATGCGGACGGGCTGGTAGCGGATGCGTTTGCTGACGTGCCGGAAGAAGGAGGAGAAAGGGAGGGCGCCGTCGCGGGAGAAGGCCCAGCTCTGTCGGGAGGCTGCGAGGACGAGACTCAGGCCCATGAAGAACTGAACGATGGCGACAACGGCCATGAAGCCCAGTGCACCGGGTTTGCCGAGTGCGTCGTAGTAGATCTGGCGGTCATCAGCTCGGGCTTCGGGTGTGTGCTTTACGGCGTATACAAGCTTACCTGTGCCATCGGTTGACCAAAAGCAGTCCCCAGCACTTTCTCCAGGTTGGTATCCATCACGGCTGCTATAACTGCAAGAGACAGAAACCCCAGGATGCCACACAGCCCGATCGACCAGAGGATACCGAGTGGTACGGCACGTGTGGCATGAGTAGCCTCCTCGCTCATATGAACGCAGGAATCAAAGGCGCCAATGGTCCAGATAGGCGAGAGCCACGCAAGCATAAACGCCCAGCCCGCTGGCCATGTGGTCAGGTTATCAATATGCCCGAAGACATAGGAACCCGGGTTCACCGGTCCGCCGTTCATCGCCTTGCCAATCGGGAGCGCAATCACGGTTGCTACCACGAGCCCGATGTTGCTGACGATGCAGAGCGTCTGGATCTTCGGCATGATGCGCGCAAAGAACGTGGTGATCAACCCGTGTACAACGACACAAGCGACGTATGTGGCATACACGACTGGGCGGGAAGCAGTCCACTCCCCATCGCGGGCAATGGAAACGAGCGAGAGCAACATGGTCGCAAACCCATCTACATCTTGTGCGTCAGCATACGCCTCAGTTACCAGCAGACCGGGGGAGGCTGCACGTACAATCGATCGAGCAGACACCACCCACAAGGCCGATGGTATTGCTGTATCCAACGACAAAACTCAGCGGATTCTTCCATTTCTCGTCGCTGAAATAATGCGTCCAAAAATAAAGACCGCCAGCGGTTGGCATCGCGGATGCCAGATCAGCCTATGAAGAAACGGACAATCAGTCCCGAGCCATCAAATCTGTACACAGTCAAACACGTACCATAGCCAGGCCAACGATAAAGATGAACACGCTTGCAACGAGCCATCCTATAGAGAGAGTCAATACCGCTGAATGAATGCATCCACAGACAGTGACCCAAAGCTCTTACCCTGTCACTGGTCAGCGAACACTTCAAAATTCACATTGCAACTCATGGAAATAGTTTACCCAGACCATGCCCACTGGGCCCGCAGGCAACGAGAACGACAAGGTGGATGCAATGGAGGGTAACAATCCCATGATGCTAAACGCAACCGCAAAGATCTGGGTAGTGGAGTAGTGTCGTCGAAGCTCCTGTTTGTACCCCAGCGTCGCTGGAAGAATCAATATCCATCAGCAGCATATTCTCATTGTGGATGATACACCATGCCACACACCGAGTAACTCCATGTCGCCAGGCTCGACAGCAATATCAGGATCGACTGTCTGCGCAGCCTTGGACTTGACATCCATAGCTCGAGTCTTTTCCGCCACGGCTTGGTGAATGAAGTGAGATAGGAGGAGTCAACAATACGAGAGAAACGTGAAGCTGTAGATTAGCAAGAAAGGTCATTGAAGTTGATCCATCACGTAGGTGTATCTATATTCTATGTCCATCTGATATGCACACGACCGACGGTAGAGATACAAGAGAATTGAGTTTTGATAAGGAGGGGTGTACATCCTATGATCCCTTGCATGGGGTTGCATTCACCCAATGTCTGATAAGGAAGTATTCATCATCTCAGCCATAATGTCGTCGTCATATCGTCCTCTTGTGCGGGGTTGTTCAACAGCTGAGCTAAAGGCACGGGAAGTCAAGGGAGCCAATCTCAGCAACTCGATGTTTGTGTCACTGTGGTAGTGGCGACGGCTGAATTCTGATATCAGTTAGTTACCTATCGCGAGCGAAACAATCTGACACGGAGAGCGCATCCAATCCCGGCGCTTCATGGCGCTGATAAGAGCCTAGAGCGTGCGTCAGCTCAGAAACTTGAAGATGGCTTGAGTTGACTCTTAAGCGACGATGAGGAGAAAAGCGAAAGTCAGCGCGAGTTTTGCCTACTCGGAACTGGTCGCCAGGGCTTCCGAGGCTCAGCGCTGCCCTGCTTATCAGTACGTTCAATAATATCATGATAAGATTGATGATATCTTCTACGCCGTACCAGAAGTCTATCTCAAGGACAGAAGGGGACAAAGAGGGAAGTCGGGGCCTCTCTACTATCGTGTATCCATTGCGTCTAAACCACAAGCCCTCCCTACAGGGTTCCAGACCCAATCAAATGCAAAATATGAAGCCACGGGCGTGAATGGAGCCCAGTTCCAATATACAAGACGAGTCTGCGCAATTGAGCCCGAGCTCCTACCATCTATGAGCAGGCCAAGACTGCAGAGCGACAAACAAAGAAGAATCAAATGAAGAGAAACACCGGAAAATCACATAACAAAACATTAAGTATACATGACATCGTGCCTCAAACGGCACCTGGGCCCTTGTGGTTTGACTGATCTAGAAGCAACCGCGGCTTGATAAAGTCCTCGTCCAGCTGTCGGAACCAGGCGGCATGATCGCGAGATGGTCCACCCGAGAACAGATCACGAAGAGCTTCCCTCGCACTCAGCCCTGTCTCTCTCCTTGCGGGTGACGCTCTGCTCGAAGGAGCAGCTTGTGAAGGCATCAGATTCTGTGCCTGTGACGGTGACCGCCGCATTCTAGAAGCCGCAGTCGGCGCAGAGGGGGGTAGATCGTCGTCAGATGCACCATCATCGATATCCAGATCAAAGGCATCAACTTGGTCCGGCTCTGACGCTCCTCGGCCGCGCCCAACGGCTCTCAGGCCGAATTCATCCTCACTAGCAGCACTGCTATCGCTGTGCATTCCAGCCCCGTTCCCGAGAAGCGTGGCCGTCGATGATTTATCGCGCGCATCCTTGCTACTGTAGGCATTAGAATACATCCGTCCATGGCCCCGAGTCGACGGGGGTGGGCTAGGACGGCGGTTGTTGCCACTGGAATAGCTGCCAGTCCTGTCACCGAGACCTGCTCGCTGTATCCCGTCCAGAGGGATGGTAGAATCAGTGCGTCGGGGCGTATACCCCAGGCCAGTGTCGGAGCGTTTGTAATAGGTACCACCATGGGTGACCTCGATGTCGAATTCATCATCGGACTCGATCTCCTCGACCACACCGGTGCGAATCCCCAGAATCTCCAGCATGCGAGCAGTCGTACCTCCGAAGATGATGACGGTCAACACGACGACAACCAAGACTGTGGCACGCAACGCCGGCGCGTTCACCCCTGTAAGCCCCGCGGCCAGCGCAACCCCCACAGCTCCGCGCAGGCCTGCCCAGAATAGCATTGCTTGATGGGCGAAGGGCAGCTCGTCCGCGACTTCCAGCCCGTGACGGCGTGCCCTGTACCGAATGAACCAGTTGATTGCCTTCGACAACGGGAACACTGCCAGGTAACGAGCAAGGCAGATGCCGAAGACGGCGACCAGAATGAACAGAGGCTTAAACTGTAAATTCGTTTCGACGAACAAATCAAGACCCAGATAGATGAAGATGAAGTTCTCCGACAATTGTGCCATGACCTGGAAGAGGTATTTGGTGGTCAACTGCGTCCGCCGCGACATGTTGTAGTAGGCGTAGTGTTTCATCGTGATACCACAAAACAGAAGAGAGACGATGCCTAAGCCTGTCAGTTACCGGGACGCTGGAGGAAGTTGCAAAGACACTCACCGGATAGATGGACACCGTTCGAAAAGAAGTAGCTGGCATATGCGACGAGGACAATCAGGCAGCTTTCGATTTTAGGCATGCGACGAACGTGTGTGTATTTCAGCCCCAGTGCGGTCATGATTCCGACAATCATGCCCACCAGCATACTACCAAAGAAGACAAGCAGAAAGAGTCCGATAGCTTCAAAGAGATTGAGGATCGTCAGCGAGCCAGCGTCACTTTCCGCATACTTCTGCGCTGTCTCGAACAAGACAATGGCAATGGCATCGTTCAAAATCGACTCGCCAAAAATGACCGTGTAAAGCTTGGGCTCGACTTTGTAGATGTTGAAAATGGCCAAGATCGTCACCGGATCCGTCGCAGAGAGCGTGGCCCCAACAGATATAGCCTCGACGAAAGAGATGTTCAGACCGTCCAACGGGATCCGTGTCCAGATGAAAAGCACCAAACCCAGCACAATCGCGGAGATGAAGGTCCCCGCGAAAGCAAAGGTGAGTATAGTGCCGATGTTGCGGAAGAAATTCGCCTGATGTAACTCGTAGCCCGAGGCCAAAATGATAGGAGGAAGGAGGAGGTTGAAAAAGAACTGATAGTCGAAAGTGACGCTGTCTTGTATAGGCGACTCGGGACTCAGTCGGATAATCAACCCGACAAACATACCTACGTTAATGCGCATGAGCGACCGCCGACTCTCCCGGGAGATAAAAAGCAGAAATAAAGTCGAACGTACCAGCAAAGATCGACAGAACCGTTTCATGAACCGCTTGGATCTTCTTTTGTTGCAGTATATAACTCGTAAACAAGGCAAACATCAACAGCATGATCAGGATGAAAAGAGCCCAGGAGCTGAAGAACTCCTTCTTTCCGGCTTCAGGAGCATCTGGAATAGTTCATCAGCAACCGACCCCAGAGGTTTCTGAATATAAGAGATCAACGCGCGTACCATCATCGGGCTCGTCCGAGTCGGCGACTCTCCCTGCAGAACAAAGACAACAGGTTAGCCACGGCACTATCACTATGACATGATCCATAACGGAACTGTTTTGCGTCGAAGGGCAGCAAATAATCATAGGGACAGATAATCAAAGCATCAATGAAGGACGTACGAATGAGCTGGTGAAGGACGTCGCCCATCAGTTGGCTCGCCATTATGAAGTGCACACAACCACTAAGCGGTTAACCCCAGCTGCGAGTCTCTGACGCCAAACCAAGGCGCACATAATAATAACTGACAGATGCGGTGCAAGAAGGACAAACCACAAATGAAACGAAGTATTAGTGGCAAGGTGAAATGTTGCGATGGGAAGATAGATGGAGCAGGTAAAGTAACGTACCTTGGTTTGGGGACAGATAACCGTCAATGTTGGAGACATCCCGCCCGCAGCCAAGACCGATATCCAAAGGCTTGTCGGAGACAGCCTCCCATCATTAACATCTCAAAATTTGTAGATTTGGTCTTGGATAAAAAGGATTTGTAACAAAAATGAGATTTATAGTGTAATGTACCTATATATGGAGACAAATACCCGACTACGAGATCATGGAACATTCAATTTACGCCGCGCGATCCCCAAGGCGACTTGCCAGCCAGGCCGCAACTAAAGCAGCGCATCCTCCAAATCTAAGCACCCATCCAACACTGTCATCCCAGGGCTCTCCCCTAGGCTTCTGGAAGGCCTTGAAGATAGCGCTACTAATCAAGCTTGAAAAGATCTGGGGCGCAGACACTGCCACGTTATGGAGTCCGAGAATGATGCCCGCTTGGGCAAGATTTTCCTCCTCGTTCTTGACCTTGGCGCGTCGCGGTCGAGCACCGTTCTCTAGATCTTCGTCGTAATCAGCACCATCACCGTTCTCACCAGCGACATTCGCAGCGGTATAATGTTCAGGAGGTACTTCCATCTCTGCCTGATGCCGCCGAGTCCGACGCTCCGCATCAATGCGGGACACCTCCGCGGAGATCAGGGCAAAGGGAGCCCATAGAGTCAAGGCCCACGAAATGCCCACAAGTCCAATAACCGCCGATCCAGCCTGATAAGAGGAGATGAGAAAGGTGCTGAACATGCAGACCGCGAACAGGATGTGAGATATAAGCCATGCCCGGCGCAGCGTCAGCCCAGGTATCTGCAGCTTCGATAACCATGTCGATTCATCCCCACTTCCAGTTGGCTTACCGCTGGTTGGTTCTAAGGCGGGTTCTGAGGCGACGCCGACGGGCAGACTTGAGATTGACATCCTTCTGGATAGACAGGGTTCGTTCTCCTCTGGAGTATCCGGATAAGCCTGCTCCGGCCTTGTGATCGGCCTGTATGTCGGGACAACAAAGAGCGGCAAGATCATATTAGCAATAAACGAGATTATCGCGTAAATCAAAAGTGCAAACGTTCCAATCCGAGTTGCTTCTTCCCAAGCCTTATTAATGTCATCCTCGGATAAGTTCGGATGCTGATCGAAGATGGGATTGACATAGAGCTGCCCTATGTATGTCGTTGCGTAGAATAGAAACGGAAACCAGCCAACCCAGGCAGCAAGCTGAACCTCGCAAACCTTGGCGATCTGCGGAGGTAGAAACTTGATCGACTTGAACACTTGCCGAAAAAAGCCAACAAGTCCTTGACTATCTTCGGACGGTGGTCCTTCGAGCCTTGGGTCTCGCTCATGGATATAAGAACAGCTGATGCTCAGCGTGATAGCGAGCGCCAGTGAGGACAATGCACAGAGCACCTTGAACT